AAACTTACAAAAGTAAAAACATCATATATAAGTGAGGTAGTTAACTAAGTACGTAGAAGAATTTTAAAAATTAACATAAAGTAAATACCAAAAGAATTTGGTAAATGACTATCTTAATTTTGTTGTTTCTAAGAAGGTGAATGGTAACAAAAATCTATACTATAAAAATATTTTAATAAATAGAGTTGTTCGTTACATATACAAAAAAATCTAAATATTTCTTATTTAAATATTAAAATTTTATACAACTTAAAGAGAAAATAAAAAAATGATATTTTCTGAGTTCAAAGAAAAATTATATATTATATATGCTGAAGTTTAATCATTTATTTTGTTAAAAAATATGAAAATGTATGATGAAAATATTATAACGTGTTAACAGTTTACATGCATTGAGAAATCTATTTAATATTTTGAAATATATATTAATATTTCCAAAAATTATGAATATGTTTACAAACATAACTATTATATTTACAAATACAAATAACTAAATAGCTAATAAGATAACATAATTATAAGAAAATATAAATACTAAAATAATGATTATATTTTAAATAAAAAATTATATTACTCACTTAATGTTTTGGTTTTAAGTTATTTTAAAACTAAATTAAATTATTAATACAGACTCGCGCGTAGCGCGAGTATAAAATCTAGTGTAGATAAAAAGTCAGGGTTTACAAATATAAGGGCATGTGCAAGTCTTTCCCTTTTTGCCTTGCTCAGAGCAAAAACCATCGCCGTTGTGTCTTTTGGAACATTCGATTTTACAATGGGTAGCCTCACATTTTCCATTTTTGGTTGGGATTATTGCCCAACAATTATATTTTTTGGTTGGTGGTCTTCCTTTTTGAGCAATCGTCAGTACTCCTGTTATTAAAATAGTTAAAACGTAAGTTTAGTTTTCTTATTTAAAATAAATATTAATGTTTTTGGTAAAACATATGCTTATAGGTTTTTTTTTCTTTTTTGGCATATTTATAAACAAAACTTAAAGTATGAACATCTTCTTTTTTAATCATTGATTATTCTAGAAAAATTGCTATACTCAATATTATAAAAATTGATACACAAATTATATCAGTATATAAATTATTATAATATCAGAATAAATTTAATTTCAGATAAGTACAGAATATAATAATAAAATTGTAAATGTAAATACAAACCGAACAGAATACTTGTGAGCATCAGAAGACCAATAAGCAAAGGTTGAAAAGATTTTTTCATCTCAGATAATGAACTAAAGGTGTTTTAAAATTACAAAGACATAGAAGAATACTTATGTAGCTGATTCCTAAATTTAAACATATCTAATTTAAACTTGTACCTTCTAAAATTCCGATAAAAAGGGATCTAATTTGACCAAACTTTTTTTTTTCAAAATTTCTAGTTTTTATTTATTTTGATAGATAAAAACTTGACTTGGTTATATGTTGATTAGTGGACTATAATAATGTGGAATCGAATGTTATCTGTTTTTTTATTTATTTTTAATGGCTCTTAGGGTTTAGGGTTTGAATTTCCGTTTTGTGATAATCAGGGCGAGTGATAAGTTCCAGAAAGAGAAGAGGAAAACTGTGAATGGTGAGGATGTGTTGTGGGCAATGGCAACTTTAGGATTTGAGGATTATCTGGAGCCCTTGAAAGTATACCTTGCGAGGTACTTCTTCACCCTTCCTTTTTCTACAGACTGTTATAATTCTATGTATGTTCTGCGCTGATAACCTTTGCCTATATATAGTTCTCTTTTTAAGGCGAGCTAGATCAAATCTCAGAATACGTACATATCTGAAGAAATAGTAGACATTTTGTTTACTCTTTTCTGCTTTTAAGCTCTTGCAACTCTATACTGATTAATGGGTCTTTTCACTTCCCTGTGTATGGTCGCTGGAACAATCCTGCTGATCCAGATAGAGGTAAACATATCCCTTATCCCACCATTTTCAACTTCTTTTCATTTTATTCCATTTCAGGATTTTCCATATTGGTGTGTTACATCTTGTTGTGGTCAGGAAAGAGCGGAGATGGATCTAATAATAGAGATGCATCTGCTGGAGGTGTTTCCGGTAAATGATTTTCACTATTATAGAATATAGACACACCACCAATGTTATAGCCTTTTTTGTATTGTCTCTGACTTTGATGATTAACACAGAGCTGGTGAAAGAAGTTGCAAGTAAACACTCTATAGAGATATAAAGAACAACAGCCAAATGATCAAGTAATTAATTCCTCTTATCTATCACAGCTGCTTTGTGTATACCAAACAAATGAGCCTAGTAATCTGTATGCATGTAGGTTCTGTATCCACACTCTTTCATACGTATAAAGTATTGTAAACTTACCTTAGTAAAACCATAATTCTTAAAGATCAATTTTTTTACTAACTCACTAAGGTTAACCATGTTGATGTTTAACTGTTACTGTAATATTTGTTTTTTTAAAGTAGTTGTGGATGGAATCTTAATCTTAAATCTTCCCAAATGCGTGCAGGAGGGGACATTAGAGATCAGTGTGTTGTTAGTTTAGCGTTCATCAGTGGTGTTAGTTTTTTTTAAGGTTTTTTTTTTTGTTATCTGTTTCCCAGTTTAGTTGTTTGTAGTTGAAGTTTTATGTTAGAAGTACTATTTGAAAATGTTACAAAAAAAAAAAAAAACTATTTGAAAGAAGAAACCAGAAGCTTCGTTAATTAGATTTCAAAACTTGAATGGTAACGGACTCTGATCTCATCACTTTGAAGTTTGATCTCCACTCTCTTTTTTCTATGGATCAGAATCACTGGTAAGGAATTACATTTAAAGCAGTTGATTGTTTTTTTAAAAAAAATACAGAAGATTATATGCAAAATCAAATCTGGTTTGAGTTGAAGGTTTCCAGAGAGTAGTGAAATGCTTAAATCACACGCGAAAACATTTTTTCCAAATATGTCTCAAAGTCATGGTAAGGCCTCTTTTTAAAAAAAAAAATATATCAGTTTTCTGTTTCTTCACGAAAAAAAAAAGAACGCTAAAAGGACAATGGATTCTCAAGAATTGGATTCACCATCAAGAATTGTTTTTTTTTTTGTTGGTTAGAAACCGATTATGTTCTTTTTGTTTGAAAATGAGAAACGGATCATGTTCTTGAAACACTCTTCTCTCTCACTTCGCATAGCAGCAAAAGAAAAGGTTGATTTTAAGCAGCTGATCAGAGATAAAGAGAGTAAATAGAATCAACGCAAAAGCTTAGCTTGGGCTAACTCAGAGAAGGCAAGAGTTTTTATTACAAAGAGTGATGAAAAACAGCAAAGGCTAACTCAGATGAAAACTGTACAAGAAGATACTTCACTTGGTGATCATACCACAAGAACGTAGATAGCGTAGATGATCCCAGGGATGTAACCCAACACAGTCAACAACAAACATATCCAGAACTCTACCTACATTCATTACATCATTTAATAAAAATTACCAGACAAGAAAGTAATTAAACTAATGATGTAATTTGATTAGTGCTTCTTACCCCACAACCATATCGGAGGAAAACGCCGACGGGAGGTAGAAGAATCGCCAGAATCACTTCCAGGAAAGTCTCTGAGCCCATCTTTTTCTTTTTCTTTTTCTTTTTCTTTTTCTTTTGCTGGATTCTCGAAGAAGAAAGAGAGAATGATTAAGAAGAAGTGAAAGTAGTGAGTGGGTTAAGAAGTTAAACAAGAGGTGGTTATTGACACGTGTGGTTCTTGCAGTGTATCACGTACCACGTGTGATGTTTTGGAGAGCCACCCATAACAATGTGGGCTATATATGTGTTGCGACCTATTCCGGTAGAAATACAGAACACGTCAAGTATCTGCTTACTTCATAACGGCTTTCACTACTTACGGAGTCTCAAGGATATATTATTTTTTTCAATGTCAAATTAAAGATAGAAGTTATTAAAGAGAAACAAAAGAAAGTGCTAAATGTATAGAACTACACATAATAACTAGGATAAGACCTGCGCCTTGCGCAGGGTGAATATATATAATTAAAATATAAAATTTTAATATTCACAAATTTAAAATTTACATATGATTGTTTTTGTATGTATTTGAAATTTTAGAATTTTGGAATTTTTATATAATTATCTATACGTATAATCAAAAACAACTTTAATTAGAAATGTAAATCAAATCTTAGAATTTAATGGATCTAATTTTATATATCTTTTTACTTTTCAGTGTTCGAGTGATGGAAAATAAATGGAGTGTCACTGGGCTTGATTGGTAGAGTATAGCAAGTTCCCTAATGTTTTTAAAGAAGCAATTGGTAAAATATTTGCAATTAAAATATATAAGGTTCTAAACTAATTTAATATAATTTATTTATTTGTCTAATAATATTAGAAAATTATATTTTTAAAAAATTATATTTTTTAAAAATAATTTTCTAAAAAATTATGTTAAATTTAAAATTATTTTTAAAAGCAATATTTAAAGTTTTTTGAATACAAATAAACAATTTAAAATTAATTATTGTCATGATTTAACATAACCATAATGATTTAAAAAATTAAAAAAAAAATTAAAAGTTAACAAATTAAAAATTAACTCAATTTTATATCATGATTTAAAAATTTAAAAATTAATTATGGTTATGAGAAGTTTACGTTCACGTGTCAATCCTGTTTATCTTCCAGTTATGAGAAGTTTACGTTCACGTGTCAATCCTATTTATCTTCCATTTTTCTCTTGCTATGTTTTTTTTTTATATTTTGGTTATTACTCGGTATAAATATTTATTTTGAATTTTATTCTCATTTCGTTTGTTTGTTTTGACCTGAAATTTAGAAAATATTTAAGTTTTAAAATAATTAAACAGATAAA